ATGTGCCCCGCCCCCCCGTACCTCCCCCGGGGGAACGGCGATCCCCGCGGCCCCCCCCCCCGAAATGACCCCTGTCAACCACTACACCCAACTGGCCTGCTTATTACAGCAGCTAAGCTTTTTCTAACGCTCAAAAAAATGAACTCTTCAATGACGTACTATCAAACATATGACAGCATATTAATGGATACCAAACGTATTCATATTTAGACAATAAACTAATTTCTGAAGAAGACAAATCGCTCGCTCACAACTTTAATGCCAGTAGCTCACAAAGTAGAATTTTTGCTCACAGACTCCATGGCTTAGAGGGAGCATTGGTACCCACATATAACATTTACACAGAGACAGATCCCCACTAGGCTTCAGGTAAAGGTAAAGGTTCCCTTGCTCGAAACTACCGACCTTCCACGGCCTGCAGTTCAGCGTCTTAACCACTTGAGCCACCGCAGCTCAGACTGGGGCCAAAAGGAAAAGCGGGGGATATTTTTGTAAAATAAATAAACTTCACTCCACGGAGTGGTAGGACAGGACCCGTGTTCCCTCTAAGCTGAGTTAGTGTGAGCCAGCTCACAGTTATTTAGCCTCCAGCTCACACATTTTTGTCTTCGCTCGGGAAGGAGGGCTCCAGAGCAAACTGATGTATGCAGTAGCCAAATCACCTGCTCACAACTTTAATGCCAGGAGCTCACAAAGTAGAGTTTTTTGCTCACAGGACTCCATAGCTTAGAGGGAACACTGGACAGGACAGTTAAGTGGCTGGCCTCCGTGACAATCACGGAAGTGGTAAATTTAGGCCTCCGACAGACAATGAAGGGTTAGGGGGCTGCCAGATAGCCAGAGAAGGCTGTGTGCCTGTGCGTGCGTGCGCACGTGTGTGTGTGTGAAGTGCGTTCCGGTAACTCCCGACTTACGGCGACGCGATGAGGAGCTAAGGGCCTCCAAAACAGCCACTTGCTAACAGCCTGGCTCGGGTCTTGCAAAAGGAGGCCCGCGGCGGCCTTTACAGAGTCAACCCATCTCGTGCCGGGTCTTCCTCTTTCCCCGCTGCCTCCAGTTTTCCCCAGCATAACCGCCTCAGTTGGGTCGTTTTTGATTCTAGGGAAAGTTCAGGCTCGATGTGATCTAGAGCCCACGGGCCTGTCTTTCTGGTGGTCCCCCGTGCCCGTCAAACTCTCCTCCGGCACCACATTTCAAAGGGATCCACTTTCTCCCTCTCCGCTTTCTTCACGGCCCAACTTTCACACCCAGACACAGTTAAGGGGGATACCGTGGCCTGAATTATCTGGGTCTTGGTTGCCAGCGACACATCCTGACAGTCTAGGGTCTTCCCTAGCTCTTTTATGGCTCCCCTTTCCAGTCTCCGCCTCCTTCCGATCTCTTGGTTGCAGTCTCCCTTCTGGTTGTTGACGGAGCCAAGGAATGGAAAATCTTGAACAGTTTCAATGTCTTCATAAAAAGGTAAAGGTAAAGGTTCCCTTGCTCGAAAGCCAGTTGAATCCGACTCTAGGGCTGCGGTGCTCATGTCCGTTTCAAAGCCAAAGAGCCAGCGCTGTCCGAAGACGTTTCCATGGTCATGTGGCCGGCATGACTAAACACCAAGGCACACGGAACGCTGTTACCCACTTGAGCCACCGCAGCTCCTCAATGACTTCATAGTCAGCCTTAAAGATGTGTAATTCCCCCAGCAGTCATTACTTTTGTCTTCTTGATGCCCAGCTGTGATTCTGCTTTGGCACTTTCATCTGTAACCTTCAGCAATAGTTCTTTCATGTCTGCACTGTTTTCTCCCAGTAATGTGGTGTCATCTGCGTATCTCAAACTTCCACCTATTTTCACTCCACCCTCATCTAAATTTAATCCCCTTAGGATACCTCCTGCATATAGATTAAACAGCAGTCTAACACTCTCAAATCCCCCCCCCCTTGGGGTGGAGCGGTGTTAGCCAGCGAACGGAAGTCCAGCTCACAAGACTGGAAAGCCTAGAGAGATCTCCTCGGCATGAAAGACAGCCTGTAATGGGCCGTTCTGGCCAGGCGGTGGCAGTGCGGCGCTACAACTCGAAGGAGTCTGGAGAAAGCTGACGCCATCAAACCAGGCCGAGGAAAAATGCCGTCTGGATCACGCTCATCTTCAACTGAACGAAACCCTCGTCGGCTGTGAATGTGTGTGAATTAAGATGTATATATGTTGTCCTCCCTTTCCCCACAAATCATTGTTAGTCCCTCGTGAAAAATGAGTAACTGTAAATCGCTCAGAGCCAGCAAGCTCTGCAGGATTGAGCGATCAACAAATTGAAAGATTATTTATTATTATTTATAAATCATCTAAAGACTGATGAAGACAGAATATGCTCCAGGAGAACAGAATATTGACGAGTTAAAGGGGAAAGATGAGAGAGAACAAGGCAAAATCAACCAATTCAAACCTCTATGAACTTACAGAACCCAAGAGGAAGCAATCTTTGGGAGTGGAGTTAGGGTTTCTAAACTCCCCTTTCCTGGAGATTTTTTCCTTTATTAGGGATCTTAGGCTAACCCAAAGGTGTTTTATTCCTCCAGCCCTGAAGAACTGGTCAGAGAGCTATTCCCAAAGAATGTGATTTGTGACATGCTGAATGTGGTGCTTGCCAAAACCCATTCACTGCTGGTTCCCTCCAACTTACCCTTTTAATCATCTGGTTTGTGAGGTTCTGCAGTGTATTCACAGTGTACGTTTTCATGAGGTGCATAGCTTTAGAAAGGCATTGCTTGAACTTCGTCGAATATACAGGATAATCTCTAAAGTTTGGCTGGAAGAGAAGAAAGGCATTTTAAAGAAGAGGTGGGGGGGCAAATAAGGACTCGGAAGGGACATCTAGAGCTCCGTGCTTTGAACGGAACAAGCAGCAGCGCCTGGGGCAGAGCTCAGTAAGGCCACCAAAGAAACCCTGACGCGCATGATTTTAGTAAGAGAGCCTGAAGGAATGACGCATCAGTGGTTAAGCTTTTAAAATACCCAGAGTATTGTCTTAAAAAAAAAATGCTATGAGGGATTATCTCTTGACATTTTTAAACATTTTTCTTTATTTATATCCCACCCTTCTCTCCAACGCAAAACAGTTCACTTTTCCCCCTCCCTTTTATCCTCACAACAACCTTGTGAGGTAGGTCAGGCTGAGAGTCTGTGACTGCCCCAAGGCCACCCAGCGAGCTTCCATGGTGCGAGCAGGGATTCGAACCTGGATCTCCCGGAATCTCCCTCAACAGGGACGGATGGCAAAGAACTCCCCAGGAGGTCTCCCAGAATTTTGCACACAGATGCATCTTCAAGCTATTTTTGCAATGGCCAGGCGGGGACGCCGGGGAGCCATTTTATTTAATTCCACCTGTAAAGGAGGGCCAAAGCACTAAACCCAAACCCCTCACCACTGAAGAGGGCTATCCACACACACACAGCCCCCAGCAAGTTTACAGAAGGCAGCTCAGATCAGAAAAGGGCTTCTGAGGGGGTGAAGAGCGGCGTGGGGATGCCGGCACCATCCCGAAGTCAGCCAGGCCTGGATTCCTATTGAATATTCACAACAGGGTTCCCCAACGTGGTGCCCAGGAAGTGTTTTTAGAAGTGTTTTTGATGTTCATGTCTAACACAGACAGCGGCTTTATGTAAAACATTTTTTCCCTTTCCCACCACCTTACTAAGGTTCTTTGCTAGTTCAGCGTGTACACTTATTTTATATGTATGCAGAAATATGTTAATTTAAAAAGGCGTCTCATTAAACAGGGCTTCCACCTGAAACGCTAAAGACCTACTACCAGCGTTAGGGATAACCTCAGACCCTGGCCTCTCGCCCCTGGCTCCGCCTCCCACAGCAGCCATTTTGTGGCTGTGCCCTCCACCCGGCGTCAGAATTCCAGAGGTGCCCACGGGCTGAAAAGGGCTGGGGACCCCTGATCTAGAACGATCCCCAGCCTCCGCTATTTTTCAACTTCTTGCCTCTCCTGGGCCAGCAAAAATAGAGTTTGAAGAATGAAATATCTCGCTTAAGTTGACTTTCCGAACACAGGATTTCTCGACGAGGAATTCGGTGCAACGTGCATGCACCCCTATTTAATGCAGGGCTTCTTTACTTCCCCCAGGCCAGCTGGTGGTTCTCGTTAGCCACCAGCAAGAAGTTAGGTTCAAGAAAGGAACACATCAGCCGACAGAGTTCAGCCTAAATCAAGACACGGAAGTAAGATTCTGTATGTCAAGCTCCCTATGCATTTTACAGCGCGCCTGCCATTGAGAGGAGGGGAAGGGAGGAGAGTGCGAATCTGGAACACTTGTGTTTTCTCGATACTTTGATGTGCCAGGGGCTTATCACCTTAGCGATGCCAAATGTCCTGGCTTCTCAAATGTCTTTCTGTGGGTTTTTTGCTATGTAGAGGCTACGGTGCCTACGAGGGGGGGGAGGTTCCCTTGCTCGAAAGCCAGTCGAATCTGACTCTAGGGTTGCGGTGCTCATCTCCGTTTCCAAGCCGAAGAGCCAGCACTGTCCGAAGACATTTCCGTGGTCATGTGGCCGGCATGACTAAACACCAAGGCGCACGGAATGCTGTTCCCTTCCCACCGAAGCGGTACCTGTTTATCTACTTGCAATTTCTTGCTTTCGAACTGCTAGGTTGGCAGGAGCTAGGACTAGAGACGGGAGCTCACTCCGTCATGCAGCAACCCGGGTCTCGAACTGCTGAACTACTGACCTTCCACAGCCTGCAGTTCAGCGTCTTAACCACTTGAGCCACCGCAGCGGGGGGTAGGCGACTGTTAATTCTGGTGGGATGGATGCTCTGGGAGGGGTACAAGCTTAGTGGGGGGGGAGTCAGTTGACTGTTATTTCTGGCGGGCAAATACTGTGGGGTGATTGGGTCCTGATCTTTAGTGCCTTTGCTTGAACACAATATATCTGCAATCTTCGAGCTTTCACCTTCAGTCCTAACAAAGCTCGCGTCCATTATGGTATCTATCAGTGTCTCAATAAACTTAACTTTCTTTGAAGTGAATGGTGTTGAGAACTGATTTAACCAGGATTCTGACACTGTAGACCAACCAATAAGGAGTAAGGAATAGTGAACGAACCCAGGGGCTGGTGTGGGTTTTCTTGCCTCTTCTTGCTACCAGGTTCTTAAAGCAAGAATTGATGAAATACAGGATTGCATATTGTAAAGCAATCTGAACACATTAGAAAAGAGGTAAGAGTCCAGTAGCACCGTAAAGACTAACAAAATATGTGGCAGGGTAGGATACCAAGGTATCCGAAGAAGAATCTGAAGAAGGGATATGAAGAAGTGAACAGTGACTCACGAAAGCTCCTACCTGGCCACAAACTTTAAGGTGCTACTGGACTCCTGCTCTTTTCCACTGCTACAGACAGACCAACATGGCTACCCATCTTAATGCAAATAGTGAGAAAACAGAACACCACTTACATGTGAGGAAATGTACGTAATACAATCATCAAGTTTCGCCAGCATAGGGATAAAACCTTCGCTGTTAACAGATAACGTTGGGGAATTCAGTTTCTTGGAGAGAGAGAGGGAAAAAAGCAGAAACCTGCGTGTTACAGAAACAGAAATCAAAGATGCAACAGACTAAACTTCCAGACTGCACTATATTGTTGCTGCTTACCAACAGGAAAAAATCCTTGGTACATAATGTATCTTCTACTTACTAAAATAGCCGGGGGAAACCAAGAAGGGATCCGCTTTAAGTGCGGTGGGTATTTAGTTTCTTCCAAGCCATGGAAGGAAAGTGTTTTGGACAACTTCAGAATAGCTGTGCATTGAAGTTACAACATGTTTCTACTTAAGCTGGAAGGCCAGAATAAATGCAATTGCAGCCACTTAGGTTAAGCACTCTTCTTGCAGAAGTGGAACCTGCTTCATAGGACACTGTTCTGGAACCCAAAACAGGTTTTTGGATTCACCTCCTCAGGTGACTACAATACTGAGTGCTTTATGTTTAGACAATTCACAGGCATCCGCTTCAGACAGCACTGAGTCACTGAGATTTTCAATGCCTTGTTAGGAAGAGCTACTCCAGTCTAAGCCCAATGAAATCAACACTCGTGACATAAGGAGGCGGAATGGATACTTGGGCTAGAAAGAATGCTTAAACTATCTGTTTGGTTAAAATGCACTGGGACTCAGAGGGAACTGCGCTTCATTCGTTTGTGCTTTTTCCTTCTCAGTACCAATATTTAGCTAAATATCACAGTGCTTTTAAAGAGACTTATTTGCAAATTCATGTCCTTGATGTACAACTTTAAGACAACCATTCTACCATACAACTCCCAAAGGATACATTGGTTTCCACAGTCACTAGCAAAAAAACATTTGGAGGAGGAGGAGGAAGAGGAGATTGGATTTATACCCTGACCTTCGCTTCCCAAAGGAGTCTCAGAGCGGCTTACAATCTCTTTTCCCTCCCCCTCCCCACAACAGACACCATGTAAGCAATGCTTCCTCTAAGCTGTGGAGTCTTGTGAGCAAAAATTCTACTTTGTGAGCTACTGGCATTAAAGTTGTGAGCGAGTGATTTGGCTACTGCATAAATTAGTTTGCTTTGAGGCCATTCTTCCTGAGCTAAGGCAAAAATCTGTGAGCTGGAGGCTAAAAAACTGTGAGCTAGCTCACACCAACTCAGCTTAGAGGGAACACTGCCTGTGAGGTAGGTGGAGCTGAGAGAGCTCTAAAAGAACTTGTGACTGACCCAAGGTCACACCAGCAGCTGCATGTGGAGGAAAGAGGAATCAAACCCGGTTCTCCCAGATTAGAGTTCGCACTCCTAACTACAGCAAACTTCATTTCAGTAGACTTGAAATCCATTTCCCAAATTCTTATGGAAATGATTGTTATCTGATTTGATTTGATCTGTTATCTCGCCCTCCCAGCCTCCGCCGGCTTCAGTTCTATTCACCAAGAATTCCTCGATAGATGATGTCACATATACCCTATCTGAATAGGCACAGTATTTTTCCTTCCAGATCTTATAGGCAAACTGAGATTTCACCTTTACTTCAGTGGGAAAGGCCTCATCAGTTTATAAGGAGTTTAAACCCTGAAGCCACAGTAAGGAACCCTTCTGGAGGGAATTCAAGCGTGAAATCCCCTACTCCAACAAAACTGAATGTGGATCATATGGCCACAGGAAATCGACAGTTGCTTTCTTTATGGGAAGATAAGTTATAGAACTTTCCTGGTGGCCGTCAAGATGTAGAAGCAACAGAAAATGAGCAGAAAATGAACGGATAAAAGGAAGTACTTCTTCACCCAAAGAGTGATTCACACATGGAATTTACTGCCACAGGAGGTGGTAGCGGCTACAAGCATGGACGGCTTCAAAAGGGAATTAGATAGATATATGGAGCAGAGGTCCATCAGTGGCTATTAGCCACAAGGTATAGATAGGGGCTCTGGGGCAAGTGATGCTCTGTCTTCTTGGTGCTTGGGGGAGGCCAACAGTGGGAGGGCTTCTAATGTCCTGGCCCCACTGGTGGACCTCCTGATGGCACCTGGTATTTCTGGCCGCTGTGTGACACAGAGTGTTGGACTAGATGGGCCTTTGGCCTGATCCAACATTGGCGTCTCTTATGTTCTTATGTTCTTAACCTCTAGTAGGCATCTTCCTCAGCTGGAGCGAGAACATTTGATTAGTCAATTACGGAAACTGCGGAAAACTCTTGAACTGGCCACCAATCCTCTAAAAAAAAGGGCAGATAAAAATGGGGCAGATAAAAAAACCAGTCCTCTCTTGCAAGGTTTTTTTCTGGGAGGAGCCAACCTCTGTCAATAAAGTTAGATCACAGGCATCTTTAATTAAAGGATCAGAGAAAACGACCCGGAATGTGCCATCTGCAGATCTACTGGATTCCACAGTGCTCAGTGTAAGAAGTTTTGTTCCAGTGTATCTGAAGAAGTGTGCATGCACATGGACGTTTACACCATGAATAAAACAGTTTTAGTCAATCTTTATCCCCCCTCCTGTATCCGGGGATACCCTAAATGGGAACTGGCAGAAACCGGATCTTGGCAAATCCTTTTTTTTTTGGTATACGATTCTTTAGATGGGGTGATTTATAAAGCTGGACGATATTTGAAGGATTTAGTTATGAAATGGGGTTCTTTACCGTTAACGCTTGTCGCCTTTTCGATAGAAAAGGTGATTATACCTTCATAAATTCTCAATGTGCCCATGTTATTATTTTATTTTGCCTGCGAATCTGTTTCAATTAGTTAAGCTGCTTTTGACTGATGGCAAACATTTATACATTAACTCTTTTGGAAAGGGAAATCCATGTCCTCAGAGTCGCCTTACAGAGACATTGGGTTCAACAGGCAACTCAGAACTCTTAAAGGGCATGTGACTTGTTCGTCTGGTTACAAGAACAGTCTTATGACTTACTTGCTGCCCTGTTTTCTGCTGGTGCCTAGTCTTCTTGGATTTCCAGA